TTTAACCACATATTATTCACCAACACATCTCAAGACATAGACGTAGCACGTTGAATATATTGCTATTCTTATTAATAATGCATTAAATAAACCGAATAGTTGCTATGGCAATGTCTTGCTTGATAGGATATTTAAAATTCCTCAGTCACACTTTTTTCAATGTTTATATATATTATGCGGAAATACTCATTGAGCATAACGTTTTTTTTACACTACACATTAGTAAATTGAGGAGGCATAGAAAACACAAATACAAATTGTTTTTAACCAAACCTTTTAACAAAAAAATCCCTATGACGAGGCTTAGTACACATTTAGTGCACCGAAAACTCTTGGTAATATTTTATTTCATAGTGTATGTTACGTTAACTCTATTTTATAAAATGTTAAGACTTTAATTAGAATGTCGTTTAGTGGGTTGTAAGGCCAGACCGCAGTGGTTATGATGACCTGATTCCGTCACTGGTAGTCGGCGTCGCTTGTTGCTTGATCTCGAAGCTTCATGATTGATGCTTGCCATCGCACACCAGTACGTGATCGCAACAGCGTCACTGTCGTTCATAATTCAACGTCTTCAATAGTGTATTTTACCTCATTGTTACCAACCATACGTCACATTAGCCTACATATAAAACATGCTCTATAACATCAGTTGCTAGACGCCAGCTGCTTGCCCTAAAATGTAGTGTTATAAATTTTGTATAGGTTTCTTTTAGCCACAGAGTTAGTTTGGGCAGATAAGTTTTTGTGAGTGTAGTAGAGGACGTTTATAAATTATTCAACAGGTTTTAAAACCTTTTGTTTATCCACATACCGAACAGATACTGACGAAAACTACATAAGTTAATAGAAAGAACATTAATTTCTTTATTTTTCTTAGATGCCCCTACAAGTGCACGATGTGCTGTTCATTAGCTATGACAGTTTCTAAAAGTTTCTAATTGATGTTGTAATTAATGTTATTGTAGCCAATACACAGGCTAGCATTGGGAGGGTGATCATTCAACGGTGATGCAAATGCGTTAATGTAACTCTTGGAGATGTTGAATCGCAACCGTAAGTTCGGGAGATAGGGGCTGATGAGTCCTTTGTTCAGAGCACTGTCTAACCAATGCTTCTAATATTCCCTGGTGACCACTACTTACGTTTGAGCAGACTAACAGAGTTTTTAAATTGACGATAACACCATAGATGTTTTGGTGTGTTGGCAGATTTAAAAAAAAACCTGCAAAACTCACGATGCATGTAATGTAACACAGATAAACAGGAGACCTAATCAAATACCAAAATGTTCCAAAATACACGTGAAAACCATTTACGTGGGATAGAAAATAAGGAAGATGAATGGCATTGAATCCTGACGAATCTATAAACACCCTGCATATCTTCTGTTATGTAAATTCACTTTCCTCATTTTTTAATGCCATCAAAACTATCTTGATACCTGCAACTATGCAAATTTAGCAAGTACTGTATAGGAAAACCATAGGAATATCTTCTGTTTTGTAAACTATTAATTTGATAATCTCAATATACACATCTTACTAGTCAAAATTTTACAATGTATTATGAACCGTATAGCTATTATAACTGCCATACTATACGTAACTAGTGAATGTGTGCCACCAGTTGGAAGTGCAGGGACTAAGATTAACGAAAGGGAAAATAGCCTCGCGCCGAGCATCGATCTGGTAATCTTTCAAGCTCTCGATGAGCATATTTCAGCTCCCAGGTCATGTGGAGCACTTCTGTTTGACGGATACATATTTAACACATCTTGAATTTCTATTCCTAACAACTTTATTGCTGTTGCGTGCTGTATTACATAAGAAATGTAGTACAGTACTGAAAGGCTATCATTATTGTGAAGACAGCAACAATATTTTTAATTATTTTTATCATAAGGTATTTTTTCAAAGTAACATCGATCTACTATCATTTCAATGTTTACGAATAAGGTGAGTATGACTATAATGATTTAAATACTCGATCTACACATAAAACTTGAAGGTATAACTAGATAGCCAACAACTTACAACAGACAATCGAACAACTTCCTTTTCAATAATACTGTCATCGTGGGTTGGTTCAAGAGTTTTTTTTTTTTTTACAATTATTCTTAAAGTATTTTTACCAATCACTATCAAAGGATAAACCTAACATCTTCACTATATTAATTTGATATTATACTAACAGCAATAATAAGTTGAATATGATACAATGGTGAAAGGGAAACAGTCTGTAAATGCAGTGAGTTTCATTCAAAAGCCATAATCTTGCGGATAAACTTTGTCAAGAAGGCGTTTCAGTCTAAGTGGGGATCAGCAAGTTTTATTGCAATAAGGTAACAGTGCCAAAGTTGAAAGATTATGTCGCAAGTAATCAGAACTCCAAGACCTCACGATATCATGAATTAATCTTTAATCAACTTCTCTTTAAACTTTAACCAATTTATACACAGCTATCATTGTTTGTACGATTATAATTTAATGTGTAGGGTAGTTGTCTTTACTTAAGTAAAATGTTTTCATCTTATTTGCATAGTAGTGTACGAAATTAAAAACACATCACCCACACACACACATAAAAATATATATGTGCTACATTTAGCGAATTTCCCTATTGGGAAGTAGCTATTACCGTAGGTGGCACGGAAGGACCTAGTCCCGGGACCGATTTACTTTTTCATTTTGATGTCCCCAGAGGCCTAAAAACACCATTCGTTCGAATTTTTTTATACGTCTGTGAATGTGATAACTTGAGCAATGTTTGCCGATTTTGATGAAATTTGTTTTAAAGGTTTAAAGTGGGATAAACTTCAATGAATCCGTGAACCAGCATGGTCGGACCATAGGAACAGGGTTTTACGGGGGGTTTTATGAGATAAATAATGGTTTTTCTCATTTTAGACCCTAAAAAACCAAATTTCCCAATTTCCCTATATAGACCTATTTAAAAACTTGAAAAAAACAAACAAACTTGTATATTAAAGTGTTTTCGTAGGGTTATTAGTTACGGGAAAAATTCAAAAGATAGTAAATTTAAAATTCCTATGTTATTCTTATGGAGAATATTGTAAAATGTTGTAGTTTGCTTTTTTATGGATATATTTTGATCAAACTTGACAAATTTATTTATTTTATACTAAGCTATTAATATTTCAATAAAAATACACTTTATTTGTTTCCTTGTAGCAGAAAACCTAGGTATTCGTTGAACCTAAATAGATGTAATTAAAAATTAATTCAGACATATGGAAATTCGCTTAGTTGGCATGTTTGCTGTGGTGGGGGTATTTTTATATGTTATATTTCCTAACAGTTAATTTGTACACTTAATATTGTTGTATCTATTAATTAATTAAATCACGCCTATTATCTGTGGCAACTCTTCTACAATCAATAAAAGTTATACAGACTAAACCAGTGATATAACTGGACAAATACTAGAATTTAAAGTATTTGTTCTCTTAATCATTGAAATGAAAATCGACAAAAAATACATTAAATCGTTCTCGTGTTATACTGAGAGCGGGGATCTCAAAGTTCAAGGTGAATACTTTAAAATTATTATACAATTTGTTATTCATTGACGACAAACAAAATCAATTTAAGTACTGAGTCTGCAAATTTATACCCAACTGTAACTTGTGTAATTACTAACTACGAATGAGCATTCACAAAGTTAACAAGGTTTGGGGAGCAGGGGAGCTCGGTGGTTAATTTACAGCGGCTGTATATTCAGTCGCATTTATCAACAAAAAACCCACTAAATAAATATGTGACTGTCACATTGATGGTTCTAGATGATAAATTTATGCTGTGATTTTTCACATTAACGTATACTGAACGGCAACTTTTCAACTTGAAAAATAGGATGAAGAGAGGTAAATATGTAATACTGCTGTTGCCTGTTTACTGCAGCGACCATAACAACGGAACATCTTGTACAAAGAGGTATAAACTGTGGGAGAAATTGTAAATCTGTTGAAATAATTTATAGCGGAGTAGGTTCCGTTCTCAGAAGTCTATAAATAAGACAAGAGGTCATAACTTTCTAATTGTATACCGAGTTATTTTAAAATACAAAAAGATCCAATTGTTTGAATCTTATACACCAATAACTAGCAAATTACTGATAGGAAGAGAAGATTTTCTCTCTGTATCTTCAACGAGAGGAAGGTTACGAATCCTGAGGTAATAAGTTAGAGCAAGAAATGTTGTAGAGTCCAAATGAAGGCAAGCGCTAGCCTAACGAGCCAATACTCTTGTTTGAGTCAATACACTCAACCTCAACCTCTGCTCAGCACTTCTCTCTTGCGTTGAACAAACTACGTACATCCAATAAAGCCAAAGAGAAAATTAAACTTGATACCAACGCAACTTTCACTAAACAATGTGGTACTAAATGAGATTAACATAGTCTATATTTTATGAACGAAAAACAAAACCTTATTTGTGTGTTTTTCATGCCATTGGAATGTTTTACATTTAGAAAGGGAATGGTCCAAACCTTTGCCTTTTTACTATGTAACGTCAACATTTATATTAGATAGCATAATTAATTTATAGCCCAACTAACTTTCTCCTACCTTTCTGGAAACGATTTCTCTTAGAATCGAACCAGTGAGCTTGAGATTTGAGGGTGAACACTATAAAAACTCTGCTACCAAGACAATTTTGTTAAACTGTACGATTTATTCTCATAGTAATGAATAGGCTACAATTAATTATGGATAAAATAACTCAATCAGAAATTTAACTAATTGTACATTAGAATGTTAGTTGTGAACAATAGATGTAAGCCTTCACATCATATTTAAACAATTAAAAACTTGTTCTTTATGTAGGCTATATTTCAAGTTGGTGACGTTGAGCACTAGTGTTGACGAAATGTTTATACAGGGTGAATTCTATGATTTGTGCCTTAATGTTAGGTTAGAAAATCCTAACAGTATTAACTACACGCATCGATATTAACATGACTTATGTTTGTTTCAGACAACACGTGTCCAACAATTGACTGCCTAGAACGTGACTCTTCAGTCAGAGTTCACCTTATGAAGATTTCACCACCTGCCTATGGCTAACTCTTGGACAAGTGAAAGATTTGAACATAGTTAATAACATGCACGTTATAGAAAGATATCTTACGCCTTAAAAATAATCAATTCAAGACTACGAAAGTCCCTTCACAATAAACCATACGATTTTATAATTGGCTATTCAAAGATGAACACTAACAGAATTATTGGTATGAACAATATTAAAGAAATAGTAGAGAGGTAAATAGTTATAATCCATGGGCCTCGGAACTAAAACATACAAACTTCCCGTCCAAACCTATTAAACAAATTGATTCTTATAGTTCTTGGACGTGTAATGACGTTTATGAAACGTTGTGCAAACAACTGACTAAACAAGTCAAGATAATTTAATGTAATCAATTCCAAATATTCGCAATTCTTTCGCATTTTCATCAAAACACTAACTCGATATATACCCCACATCTGTAAGCTTGTAACTCCTCCTTTATTGGCTCAGTGATCTTTCCTCTCGGCTACATACTCCCTACATATAAAAAACTAGAGCTGCAACAGTGGACTACATGGTCAAATGCGAATTTATCGATTCGGTGTTTTGATGAAAATAAAGTAAAGAAGCCATCTTACTGTTTCCAACGTGCTGCAAGTGCTGTAAGTGAGTGTTAGTGAGTGGAGTGCAGTGAGTGGAGTGCAGTGAGCATGTAGCCATGCCGGCTCGGGAATTGAACGTCTCCTCTTGCGATGCTCTCGTCGAGAGCGTTGTGTGGGACGATCCCCGGGCCCTGACCATCCTCACAGTGATCGCGTTCATAGACATGATGGTGATCGTCGGCAACTGTCTAGTCATCGCCGCAGTCTACATGTCGTCCAAGCTGCGCTCCGTCACCAATCTCTTCATCGTCTCCCTCGCCGTAGCCGACCTCATGGTGGGACTGGCCGTCCTCCCATTCAGCGCCACCTGGGAGGTCTTCAAGGTAACTCCCTTTAATCAGTTACGTACGTAGACATTTAGGACTGTGTGATATATTTCAAAGCTATATTTAATTCATTGTGACAATGATGTTGACTAAGAAAAGTGATCTTTGTAAGTAATCAGTGGCTTTCATATAATATATTTCTGAAGGAAGGAAAGATTATTGGCTTAGTAAAGCTCGAAATGTAGGCATACGAATATTATATTATGTCTGATTTAAACTCCAACGATTCATACATATGCAGTGTTCCCTAATAGTCCAAGAATTTTAGGGATAAAACTGTCATTCGACCTAACAAATTCGGACTAAGTGGAAACTTTGCACAGTTGTTTAGTAAGCCTAAATAAATAAAATATCAAAAGTCCCCATAAATCCCGGCTGTGCTTCAGCCGCCATCTTGGAAAATGGCGGCCAATTTTCACTTTTTTGACAATATTTCACAAACTATTGGTATTAGAGAATTTTTGTTAATACAAAAGTTAAAGAACGTCTAAAAATACATATTAGCGAATTTCCCTATAGGGAAGTAGCTATTACCGTAGGTGGCACGGTAAGACCTAGACCCGGGACCGATTTACTTTTTCATTTTGATGTCCCCAGAGGCCAGAAACACCATTCGTTCAAATTTTGATATATGTATATATATATAGACTTATATATTTATATACATATATATATATACAGGGTGGGGCAATGAAAGCGCCCCAATTTACAAACAGTACAAACTCAATAATATTCACCCTATGGATATAAATAGCACACCAAAACACAGCTTATCTTTTGCCATTTTAACTTAACAAAGTCATTTTTCCATTTCTTGAGAACAAAATCCTACAAGTGACTTCATTGTCCTACTTAACATTCCTTTTTAGCCACTTGAAACTCCATCAAATACTCCTCCAGCACTTCTTCAGGAATCACTTTTGTTTTTGGACTATCCTTAAGCTTCGGTTCAAGCAAATCTGTGGGGTGACTTTGAAAAACCTAGAACGTCAAGTAGCTTATTTGAACAACCCCCCCCCTCCCAAAAAAATAGCCAACGTAAAGCTTTCAACAACAAAAGCTTCCTGGCAAATCTCTTCGGACTTTGAGTTACTGGGACTCATATTTTTTTAACATTTGCTGGTGTACAAAGAGTTTTGCGGCACCCACCGATTATTTTTTTTTGTTTAAGCGATTATACTAAATAATTTTACCCAGTTCAACATTGTTTTCCAATCTGGAACAGCGTCATGTTGACCAAGGATGGAATACGGTCCAAACAATCTCTGGGTTTTTGCACAAGAACCACTATTTTATAAATAGGTTTCCACATCAAAATCTCAGTGATAATAGCCTCAGGCATAATATTTACTAAAATGGCATAGTTTAATTGATGTTTTAAGCACAGCTGATCATTCATTGTTGCAACAATTAACATGTGACAGGTAAAAAAAATTGTAGCGTTCTCATTGCCTCACCCTGTATGTACATATATATATATATATATATACGTCCCTGAACGCGATAACTTGAGTAATCTTTGGCCGATTTTGATGAAATTTGGTTTAGAGGTGTAAAGTGGGATAAACTTGAATGAGTTCGCGAACCAGCACGATCGGGCCATGGGAACGGGGCTTTACGGGGTGTTTTATGGGGTAAAAATTGTTTTTTTTTATTTTTTGACCCTCAAAACACAAAATTTCCCGATTTATCTTTGGACCTTTTTAAAGAGCTTAAAAAAACCAATAATTTAGTATATAAAAGTATTTTTGTTCAATTATTAGTAACGAAGAAAATTAAAAAATTTTAAATTTAAAATTCCCATGTTATTTTTATGGAGAATATTGTCAAATGTTGTAGTTTGCTTGTTTATGGATATATTTTGATCAAACTTGGCAAAATTATTTATTTTTTACTAAGCTATCAATATTTTACTCAAAAACACACTTTTATTAGTTTCCTTGTAGCAGCAAACCTAGGTACTCGTTAAACCTAATGTTATTAAAATAGGGTGTCTCAGACCACCCGGCCGGCTTGTATAGCTCCAATATGAAAGCAAATGGAAACCTAATTGCAACTGGAACCCCCTATTTTGACCCCAAGGAATTCAGCTAAATTATTTTCAACCCCAAAAAAGCACCCCAAAGGGCAGTTTTTGGGGGGTGGGGGTGGTTTTTGGGAAATTTTCAAATGTAAAGGGGGGTCGTGTTATACCTCTTGTTAAAGGCCCTTTAGTCCTGAGTATTTTAGTGGAAAAAGATTTAAATTATCTTCATCCCTATTTATAGGGTGTTCAAAATCTTACAAAAAATAGACCTTTGAACTACTTTTCACTGTAAAGAGGTGGAATTTTGTGGGGTGTTCAAATTTTGACAAGACTTTAATTAATAAATGAGCTTTCAAAAAACTCTGGTTTTAACCCTTTTGCTATCTTTTTACTTATATTACGCATTTTCAAACTTTTTGAAGTTTCAAAAGCTGTTATCTCAAAAATTTCAAATGGCAACATGGGTTTCATTACAAGCCACACTTTAGCCCTTGAAATTTGCTATAATTTTTGTATTTAATGTTTTTTGGTATCTTCATTGGTTAAAGAGATATAGTGAAATTAGTGTATTTTAATGTTTTATTAAATGGTATTCAAAGTGTTTGCTGTTGTAAATGTACACGTCTAGGTCTCAATTAAAACTAATTATGTTAAAAAATTAAAATACTACCCAGATTGTTAAACTTAGAGGATTAATAAAGGAAAAAACACAATTGCAAATATTCTTAGTTATTTTACAATTTACAAAATTCTAATAGTGCTTTGAATGAATACTGTCTATAAATGCTACTGGTAAATAAAAAAAATCATCATGAAATCAATGAGCGTGTGCGTGAAACTGATTTAAAACAAATTATAAGGATCTTACTGGATCTGTACGAGAGGTGAATGCACCTGCGGTAGTAAAATAGCAATGCAGTACCATAATAGTGGAGAAGAAGTACTACGTGCATAACAGAGTTGGGGTTTGCATGGAACAAAATGGAAGGCAATTTAAGCATTTGTAGAAGTCCATCGGTATGTAGGCTATTAATGCTGATTCAAACAAATTATTAATTCAAAGCACTATTAGAGCCATGGAATTGTAAAATAACTAAGAATATTTGCAGTTGTGTTCTTACCTTTATCAATCTTCCAAGATCAACAATCTGAGTACTATTTTATTTTTTAGACAAGATTTGTTTTAATTGAGACCTAGAGGTGTACATTTGCAACAGCAAACTCTTTGAATACCATTTAATAAAAGATCAAAATACACTAATTTCGTTATAACTCTTTAACCAATGAAGATACCAATAAACATTAAATACAAGAATTACAGCTAATTTTAAGGGCTACAATGTGGTTTGTAATGAAACCCATGTTGCCATTTGACATTTTTGAGATAACAGCTTTTGAAACTTCAAAAAGTTTGAAAATGCGTAACATAAGTAAAAAGATAGTAAAAGGGTTGAAACCAGAGTTTTTTGAAAGCTCATTTAGCAATTAAAGTGTTATCAAAATTTGAACCCCCCAAGAAATTCCACCTCTTTACAGTGAAAAGTAGTTCAAAGGTATATTTTTTGTACGTTTTTGAACACCCTGTAAATAGGGATGAAGATATTTTAAATCTTTTTCCACTAAAATACTCAGGACTAAAAGACCTTTAAAAAGAGGTATAACACGACCCCCCTTTACATTTGAAAATTTCCCAAAAACCACTCCCACCCCCCAAAAACTGCCCTTTGGGGTGCTTTTTTGGGGTTGAAAATAATTTAGCTGAATTCCTTGGGGTCAAAATAGGGGGTTCCAGTTGCAATTAGGTTTCCATTTGCTTTCATATTGGAGCTATACAAGCCGGCCGGGTGGTCTGAGACACCCTGTATATTTAACTGAAAATCAATTCAGAGAAATGGAAATTCGCTTAGTCGGCAGGTTTGCTGCGGCGGGGGTATTTTTTATATCACAAGGTTTGCTCTATCTCTAACGGTTATTGAGATAAATAATAAAAGATAGTATTCAATTTAAAATTCCCATGTTGTTCTTATTGAGGAAAATAAAATTATTGCAGTTTGCTTATGTATGGATATATTTTTATCAAACTTGGCAAATTTATTTTTGTTATACTAAGCTAATGATATTTAACATAAATATACGCTTTATTACTCTCCCCATAGTAGTAAACTTAGTACTCGTTAAATTTAAAGTTACCGTATTTAAATAGGGAATCTATAGTATTTTAGTAATGATCCAGTAAGGGAAATGGAAATTTATTTATTGACATATTAACAATAGTTTTCCCTTATTAGTATTAAAGTTTAAAGTCCACTCACTATATTTTTCACTACTATGTGACTACTTACATGGTAGGTTTACTTATTACTCCCGGTGGGATTTATTATTTTGTCGGTGAATATTAGGAAATTCCACCTTAACATCCGGAATAAATGCGGCTGAGGCACAGCCGGAATTTGTGGGGACTTTTTGCCATTTTCATCAACTATGCTTACTGTGTTTAACTGTGCTAAATTTCAATTCAGTCCGGATTTTAAGGTTCAATTTCCTAATATTTACTGACAAAATAATTATACCGGGAGTAATAACGTGCCATGTAAGTTTTGAGTAGTTACATAGTAGTGACAAGATAGTAAGTGGGCTTTAAATCATAATACTAATAAGAAAAAATGATTGATAATAAGACTAAAAAATGAATATCCATTTGCCTGACTGGATTTTTACTAAAAATATATTTAAAAAATGTAATATATATTCCCTATTTAAATAACTTTAAATTTAACGAGTACTAGGTTTACTGCTATAGGGAGGGTACTAAAGTATGTATTTATGGTAAATATTAATAGCTTGGTATAAAATAAAAAAATTTGCCAAGTTTGATCAAAATATATCCGTAAACAAGCAAACTGCAAAAATTTTATTTTCCTCCATAAGAATAACATGGGAATTTTTAATTGAATACTATCTTTTATTATTT